ACTACATATGGAGACAAATACCTGCTACTTGTAATTATGCTCAAGTGTTAGTCACTCACCTTGTTTGGTTAGTGAGTATGCCACTCAGTAGCATATAGTGTAGTGCACTGGTGACTGCTGCTGCTAGAAATGGGTCTGTCAAGAAGTGTAAAGCTGGATGAAAGTGGCAAATTTCTTATAAAAACATACCTGCAAAGACTTAAAAACTTTAAGTATTGTCTTTGTTGACCACTCGTCGTGCTCTGAGACTTCCTGCAAACATATAAACTCAGCACCAGAATTTGTTAACAGTTATTTTCTGCTGATATGATGCTCGTTTGGACTCGTGGTGCATTTATTCATTAGAATCTTTTCTGTTTGTTTTATTTATTAGCTTGTGCAGCTTTATATCTGTGCTGCATAACAAAAATCCCTAAATCTGACATCAGCATGTCATGGCACACTGCTGTAATCTGTAGGCACAGTTTTGAAGATTTTCAAATTCCCCCGAACACACAGTAAGCCCAAATCTACCCACAGCAGCTTGGCCTCGCCGCCGTGAGCAGGCCGGACAGCCAACAACCAGCCGCACTGACGAGTCATCAGCGGGAGTCTTGGCACGCACAGACATCGAAGCAGCTCCCGATTAGCATGTGCTAATGTGAAGAGCAGATTAATTCCAGTCTGGGACGTCTGATAGTATAAAGAGGAGTGAGCCATGAACTGAAAATCAATATGCTGAGTAAACAATCAGCTGGACAAGCAACAATCGGAGAGCCGGAGCGTCTGTGAGCTGCGGCGGTGCTCACGCTGAGCGATTTATGGCCCCTCAGCTCCTGGCATTGTTTCACGAAACCATGTCAGTGGGAAGCGATGCAGCGTTTTCCCTCAAAGTGGATTCTCAGCCACAGCTTGTTATGAAAATTATACACATGTGACTGTGTGCTATTCACCAGCAGAGATTTGTTAACCAGCTTATATTAGCCCCGAAATAAACTTTTTCGAGGTCTCAGTTCTTCACAAACAAGATTTCAATGTAAACTGCATCAGCTGGATATTAGGAGAAAACAATGTGACATAGCGCTGTTGGGTATTGCCTCAAACTAAAGACAATTATTTTTGTTCTTCTGGAAGTCTAGAGTACACAATCACCAAGGCTGTGGAACCACCACAACTGCGTTTGGTTGACTCTGTGGAATCCTTTAAAAAGCAGTTAAAAACGTTTTTGTTTAAACAGGCCTTCTTTTAATCAATACTTTTGAATTGTTTTGAATTTGCATTGTTTATATTGTCCATTTTATTACTTAATGTTTTCTTTATTTTAACCTTTGTGTACAGCGCCTTGTGACTGCCTGTCTACGAAAAGCGCTTAATAATTAAACCTTACCTTACAATCATCACTGGATCAGGGATTTTCTGCTTGGTACCACAACTCCATGCCATGAACTGCATGGCTTATACTATGCAGAAGTCACCGACACTGTAATCCTAATCTGTTGGTGGTTTTGTGTGTTTTTTAGTTCATATGGACCAAGCATCACACCTTAATGTTTCCAAGGATTATTTATTGGCCCCTACAAAAGTGTTCTTGATATACCGTCTCTGATTTTGAGGCCTCGAGATGAGTGTTTTCACAGTCACTTGACAAGTGAAGTCAAATATGCCACAGATGGTCCTCAATTCTGCGCAAAAGCTGCATTTTGGAGAGTGTTTGACCCAATGAACTCATCAGGAAAAAGTGTTAACAGAGAGTTAACAAATCAGAAATCCTTTATCCCATAGAGGAGTACGGGAGCAGAAATCTTCCTGCAGCCGTAGGTATTGCAATCTGGTGGCCTTAACATAGAATTCTGGTTTAATGCACTTTGCACTGGCTTCTTTTCCACTCTGGAAAAACTCATGTTTTATAACCTCATAGATCACGAGTGTGACCACAAAACCTTTTAC